ATTCACTGTCATGATTTATTGTCATTCCTCATCCTTGTCATTAGTATTGCATTCACTGTAGTTCTAATTATAATTATCATCATTCTGCATTCATCATTAAGACTGTACATCAGCCAAAATTATACATTTCTGTCTGTAAATATATATTTTCCGGTTGTTTGATTGGGGAGGCCTTGGTTGAGAGTGGGCCGACTTCATTATTTATCTGTAATTATTATTGCTATTGTATTATAAATAAACATTATTCATGTTGTGATAACATCTAAATGTTTACCTTAATTGAAAGTAATATTAATACATTTCTTGATTAATTCATTTGTTAACAAAACTTCCTGGAGATAAAATCTATGTCAGAATTACTTCTCTTGTCATTAACATGTATTTATGGGTCATTAGTTCATCCAAGGGAAGTTATCCACAAGGCCACAGTAGCTTTATAACTTCAAAGGAACTAAACAAGTTTGTTATATGATATTTCATTGAGATGCTACAGAGTTTGACACCCCCAGATTTTATGTTAATCCGTGCATATATATATATGTATATTCTCTTCTGAGTGTTTGAAGTGTAGTGCAATGAAGAGAGTTTGTAATTATTTTTATTTTATTTGATATAATAGTGTTATAGAGCCTTTTTATTGGTTATTTGAATACTCACATGACCATTTGTTAGTTGATTTGTTTTAACAGTCGTGAGACAGAGAAATGTTGGATATATCTAAGCAAAAAAGAAAGGGAATGCTAGTAGATATTTTAATTTGTTTTTCTTTTTCGAATATTTTTTTTTGTGGAGACTAAAAGGGGAAAAAAATAATTAGCTTGGGGAGGTTGATGTTAGTGTTACAATAAAGGTATCCTTTGAAGAGTTTATGAAATGCATTTGTTACCATTTTGTTGATGTTTAACAGTCAGGAACTGGAGAAATATAAATTTAAAATGTAGTTTGATACTGAAAGTGAAATGTTCCTGAAATGTGTTGACTGTTATGAAATGTTTATTGTATATCAGAATGGTATTAAAAATGTAGCAAAGTGTTTATTTGTACATAAGTTCCTGCATAATCAAGTCCTATGCAGCCCTGTTCGTATTAAACTATGGGATTATTATATAGTGGGAGGCTATGTATAAAATTTGGTGGGAATATAAGTTAGCTTTGTTCCATTGGTTGATAGATGGAACATTAGTGCTAATTGGATCATTTGAGTCTGTGATTATAAATGTTTTTAAAAAAAGTTTACAGGCCTTTTTATTCTCAAAATAATGTAAATATAAATTCTTTGAATGAAAATAAAGTTTTGTTATTTTTCCTTATGTTTTTTTCGACATTGTTGTAGAACAAAAACAAGAACTTGAAGGTGTGAGTTTCATTACATTCACCAAAGGCTAAATATATATTCTTTGTTCATCATATGCTTATATGTTTAATTGGAGTTGAAATCTTGCATAGCCATAACCAATTGTCTTAATTTTTTCATATATGTTTACAAACCAATAAAATACAAATGCATTTGGGTCTTGTCCATCAGTTGTCTTTAAGTATGAAGGCAGATAATCAACTTCCTCTTTCATTAAGGTTGTTCTTTCCTTCAGTTATTACTTTAAAAACAACCATAAGGGAAGAAATTTATGGATATGGGTTTAGTGTAAGCAGCACCATGGATGAAGATAAGTTGATTGTCTTCATTACTTAGTAAACTGAGGATAAATGTAATGTAGGTTGTACTTGTATAGTTTTTATATTTAGGAAAACCTAGACGTATGATAATGAAGAAAGTACACATTAAAACAATAAATATCTTTATTTAATAAATATTATAAATTAATATAAATATCTAACAAAAATATTTGTCTTTTGAGCGATGTTTCCAATTACTTTATATGTACAAAAGTTTTTTTTTATATAGCAGTGACATGTATAAAACTCTCACTTTGATACTTCAATATACAACACTTAATATTATTTACAAACAATGACTTAAACCATATGACTACAACACTGTTATAAATATAAGAACATTTTTTTTATAATAATAAAATAGATGTGTGGAAAGAAGGAACTTGTAAAAAAAAAAAAAAAAAAAAAAAAAATGCTAACGGTGTCTGCTACAAATGGGTAACGTGAGTAAAGATTTATGCAAATTTAACAGCCTTTTTTAGATAATTAAGAATACCAGTGCTTTTTTGTTTTCTTCTATTCATCGAGAATAGTCTATGGTCTTGGTTATCCTACAGAAATAAAAAATATTGACAATTTTACCTGTCTGCATCGCGCTCAGTGTCACTAAACAAATAACAAAATACAAATAACGACACAATAATTCAAACATTAAAAGATTTTTTTAGGAACTACAAAAATAACGTCATTTACACCATATATTCCTGGTATTGTACACGAAGATATGCAACTCTCAGTATAAAATATTTGATATCGACAATTTTTTTTTTTCCGAAACATTAGCACTATAATTTAAAACACTCAGGAAGTTTTAAACTCCATATTTGATTCCTCCGTCGCATAAAACATCTCGAGTTCCCGAAGAAGCCCACGGTCATAGGAACTTGAAGGAGGGTGTCTAACCATCTCCTCCTTGACGGCACTGTGGATTCCAGCTTCTAGGGGCTTGAGGTCGACGTAGATGCCGTCCTTGGGTTGGAGGGTGAGGACTTTAGGGTCGAGGGGCACTGGGTACACGGAGGAGGGGCTCTCTCTCACCTCCATCGCCGTCAGAATATGTAGGAGGCCGACTTTTATCCCCAACAAGGCGAATCTTAATCCTGTGGGGGAATGGAGCATTTGCGTTAGGATTCACGTGGATTTAGAGAAATTAATATTTTTCTCTCGTTTTTTCATTATCTTTCCTTCTTTTGTCTCTGTCTGTGTATCTTGGTCTGTCTGTCTGCCTGTCTGTCTTGTTTATCTGTCTTGTCTATCTGTCTGTCTGTATGTATGCCTGAATGCCTGTCTGTCTGTCAATCTCTCTCCCTCTCCTTCCCTCCCTCTCTCTTCCTCCCTCTCTCTTCCTCCCCCCTCTCCCTCTCCCTCAATATCTCCATTCCGCCCCCCCAACACCGACGTTCCACTTTCAAACTCACGAGAAGAAGACCCACCTATGCAACTCCTCGGCCCCTGACCAAAAGGAAGATAGGAGTACGGAACGATGGTCTCTCGCTCTCGACCCACGAACCGCTCTGGTCTGAAGGTCAAAGGGTCAGACCAGTACCGGGGGTCACGGTGGATGTTCCATACGGGAATGATCACTGGTTGACCTCGCTCCAAGGTTACCGAAGTTCCACCGATCCTGGAGGTTAAAAGGAAGGTTATGTAGGTTAGTTTACGTGTTCAAGAAGCGAAGATCGACAGAGAGTGTCATAAAGAGTATTTCTGATTAATTTTCAAACACTCCTTTCTAATACTCTTTCCCTAATAAACAATTAATGATCGTTTTCCAAATACCCCTTTCAATGCTTATTTCCATGCCCCTTCCCCTTTCTAGTGTATTTTTTTTACTTTTAATGGTAATTTTCCTACCGCCCTTTCTCAAAACCTCCATCTAATACCTATTTTCCTGATGTCCCCTTTCTAATGCCCATTTTCCTACCAGCCTTTCCAATATCCTTTTCCCCGATACCTCATTCAATACCTGTCTTCCTACCTCCCTTTTTAATACCCTTTTTTCCCCAATACTCCATCTAATACCTGTTTACCTGATACCCTATCTAATACCCACATCTAAAACCGGATACCCTATCCAATGGCCATTTCCCTTATATCCCACCTAATACCATATCTAATACCCTTTTTACCTTATATCCCATCTAATTCCCATTTCTCCGATACTCGATCTAACACCCCTTAACCTACCGCCCTTTTCTAATACCCCCCCACCCCCCGCCCCCCAATATTCTCACTACTCGATACTCACGTGTACTGCTTGGTGCAGATCCTCTCGATAACAGGGGCAGCCGGGTACAGGCGGAGGGTCTCACTCACTACGGCGTCGAGGTAAGGCAATTCCATGATTTGGTCGTGGGTCAGCTCTCCTCCACTCCTGTCGGGGTAGAGGCAAAGGTCAGCAGCGGAAGAGGTGGATGGGAGAGGTAAAGAAAGTGGGAGGTGGTGGGTAAATAGAACGAAAGGGGGGAAGGGAAGGGGGGAGGGGAGGATTAGAGTATCCAGAAAATATGGGAATCGTAATTGTAAATTATAATGGTAATGATGATGATGATACTACTACTACTACTACTACTACTACTACTACTACTACTACTACTACTACTACTACTACTACTACTACTACTACTATTTATTATCATCATTATTATTATAATCATACTACTACTAATTGTAATAACAACCCCCAAACAATACTATCAAAACCATCAACCAAGAAACACACACGATTCCTCACCCTAACTTAGCGAAAGCCAGCTCCCTCCTTAGCGCTGCCTGCTTCTCTGGGTGATGCGCCAACAGAAACAGTGCCAATGACAGCGTATTTGCAGTGTTGTCATAGCCAGCGAGAAGGAAGAGGATAGCTTGTGCCGCCATGGTGTTGTCAGATAAACCTGTTGGCAGAAGGAGGGGCGTATATTGCGAGTGTTGGTAGTATGGTAAACGCGGTTAAGTGTATTTCTTGTCATTCTGTGGTAATGGCGTTCAAAGAATCGTAATTTTTTTAAAGGTTTGATTATGTTATTGTTGTTTGTTGGTTTGATATTTTTACGCTATTATTATTATTATTATTATAGTTTCATTGTTGGTTTCACTGTCATTATCACTATGGTTATAATAATCGCAATCATTATAATTACTTTTACTACTGTCACTTGTCATTATCGTTATTATAATCACTGTCATTTTCTTAATCATAATCACTATTGATGAAGGTACTAGTAATAATAATAATGATGATATTTTAAATAATACCACTACTATTATTATTATAATGACAGTAATATTAATAGCAACACAGATTAATGATAATTGCAGTAATCATAATGATAATAGTAATAATCAACGAATATCATTGCTATCACGTTACCATCACGATAATTATAGTCAATAATAGTACCATTACAAGCATATAAGTTTTGATAAGAGAATCACAGAAAAGCCTCGGCAACGGCGATTACAAAAGATAAAAAAAAAAGAAAAAAGTACCACTCTGGACCAATTAATTAATGGCCTGTAGCACTTTTTCTTATCTATGTATTGAAAAAAACAGCGATTATTATCACGTGGGGTTGCGTTGGGCGGCCGAGGGTTAGGTTAAAGATTTTTTACTTATTTATTTTTTTATTTGGTCTTCCATAGCAATGTAGCATTAACCTTTAATTCCAACCTTAAACATTAAAAATTCTGTCGTGTTTTTTTTTGGCCCCTTTTTCAAATCTATAAGAAATACTGAAGACTATCGGAAAAAAAATACTCCCATAAAAAAACGTAAATAAATACACAAATCTGAACAAATCTGAAAAGGAAATTTCTTTATAAATCATACCCTCTTTTCCATTAGCTTTCCTCTCTCCCTACACACACACACAAACACACACACACACACACACACACACACACACACACACACACACACACACACACACACACACACACACACACACACACACGCGAACACACACATACACACACATACACACAAACACACACACACACACACACACACACACACACACACACACACACACACACACACACACACACACACACACACACACACACACACACACACACACATACACACACACACACACACACACACACACACACAAAAAAAAAAAAAAAAAAAAAAAAAAAAAAAAAAAAAAAACTATTTCATACCTTCTTTTCCATTAGCTTTGGTTTCCATCATGAGGTCGAGAAAATCTCCCCTCCGAATGCCGCTCTCCTCACGCATGCGCAATGTGTGGCTCACCACGTGCCTGAAGAAGTGGAATTCGGGGCTGGTGAAGTCGATGCCCAGTTTGTGTACGATCTGGGCAAGTTTGGGCGCCACGAGGAGGGTAACGATCTGGATGGAGGGAGGATGGGTATATTTATCATATAATGGCTGGGGTATTTAGGCGGTTAGTATTGTGTGTTGTTAGTAATGTATGTATATATCTTTTACTGGTATTGTCTTTTACGACTATATAGAGGTCATAATTCGTATAATATCGATTCAAAGTAATAATGCGATGACTGATGAACATATTTTTAAGCAGCCCTTTCTTAAACTCTTTCCTTAATATCCTTTTAATTGTAATACCCATTAACAAACAGCTAATCAACATAGACGAGGAGATTAACTAATACACTCAGACTGAACACCTGCTAGCAACGTTGATAACTTGGGAGCATCCGATATCTAACCTTCAGAGCCCTGATAGGCGACAGCTGGAAGATCTTGGCGGCCATTTTGGGGAAGGTGGCTGCCTCTGAGCTCAGGGCGTCGCACTCGATCCCGAAGGCGCACGAGGCTATGCTGTCCATGGTGTAGCGCCCGCAGAGAGCACGTGCCTGGAGGAGGAGGAGGTTAGGGCTGATTTCTGTCTTTCGGAAAGGTATGAATGGATGTATCCGGAGATACGTACATTATATGCATACACATATTGATATTGATTTTGTGTGTGTGTTTGTGTGTGTGTGTGTGTGTGTGTGTGTGTGTGTGTGTGTGTGTGTGTGTGTGTGTGTGTGTGTGTGTGTGTGTGTGTGTGTGTGTGTGTGTGCGTGCGTGCGTGCGAGCGTGCGCCCGTTTATGGATGTGAATGCATAGCCCTTATGTGGAAGTACGTTTATGCATATATATACTGTACGCGTATAATTCAAATCCACTCGTAAAAGTATGCACGTGTCTACACATCCCCCGAAACCACAACATCCATTCCTCCCTCATATAACGAGACCCCCGCCACAGCACCCATTCCACAGGCGCCTACCTCCACGGATCCCTTCGTGGCCTCCTCCGCCGCCAGCCGCGTGAGGTGCGCCGCCCTCTGCGTTATGAGCGGGAGGAGGCGACGCGTCTTGGTGGCGGTGAAGGCCGGGGACACGACGCTCCTGATCAGACGCCAGTGAGCCCCCGTGGCGTTGGTGAGCATGTCGTTGGCGATCGGGTTCACCTGCGGCAACGGGAGATGTTATCAGAGGGTGAGGCTAAAAATAACTAATGATATATATACTAAATAAGGGGTAAACATTTAATAGAATAAAGACTAAGATATATAATTATTGAAGTTGAATAGCTATACTAAATAAGGGATAAACATTTAATAAAATAAAGACTAAGATAGATAAAGTTTGAAGTTGAATAAATATAAGCTTAAACCAATGAGGACAAAATCAAACGAATAAAGGCTAAATTTTATTTTTAAAAAAATATCGAAACCCGCGTGAATTATGGCAATCAACAACCTACAACAAAACAGAAAAGAAAATGGACAGACAATGAATACAAAGATGAAATACAAGTCAACAATAGATAACCTTAAATTCCCTTAATAATAA